ACACCAGCCTTTCTAATTTTTGATAATTGAGTCTATTCCGCACTTTAGTGTGAATGAGAGCAAATGTACTCCAGTTTCTCTCACAACCACTAGATGAAGCTGTTTGCGATAATATTTTCATAGCAATCTTTCTCAAATTTGGAGCATCAGTGCCATACATAAACCACCATTCAGCTGCATAATAATAAGAAACATATTAAAACCTTAAAGAAAAATATAAATAGAAAATCATGAGAATAAAATATAAAAGTGTAAATAATCTACTTAATTACCTGGATCACTTTTTGTTCTTCCTCTAATTGCAGCTTGGTCAGCAAAACAATACATAGCCTCCCGAAATATTTTTACCTAAATATCATGGGTATATTGATGTTATATATTAATTCAGCATATTTGTAAATTGAGATTGAAATACTAAAGTATTACCTCTGCAAGTGCTTCAGCAGCCTTGTTTGGATTTGTTTCTAGTCTAGACACAACGATCCGAAGCGAACCCAAGAAATTTTCTAATACACCAACATCTTCTTCATAATGGTATGTGGGGTTCAAGTAATAAGCTACACAATATAAAAAATGATAACACTTATAAATGATAACATTCAAAATTATGACACTTATCAATAATAAAAATATAAATTGATAAACAATAAGTTTACCTGCCATATGAATATGTTGAATGATTTGTTTTTTCCATCGAGTATCAATGATGTCAAGATATTTTTTGCACGATTTAGGAGCCGCATCTTTGACAGCTTGTCTTGCTCGTTTCATTGCTTCATATACATATGGAATTGTTGCTTTTCTTTCCTCATCCACCATTCTTAGAACTTTTGCAATAGGTGTATGCATATTCAACACATTTTTGGCGGTCTCCCAAAATTTAGGATTTAGAATTGTCCCTTGAACTCGCTTTCCAACTGGATCCTTTGCTGCCGCATTCCTAGACCAATCTTCTGAAGTAAACATCCTTTGCAAACCATTTCTCTGCTCCAACATACTTTGTAAGGCAATATAATTAGTGGCAAATCTTGTTTGCCCTGGCCGAATCAATTCCCCCGAACAAAATGTTCGCATTATATCCAAGACTCTATTATGATTATAAATAAAATTTGTCACTCTTTTAGCTTGCTCTAGTACATTTTGAACCGTTTCAATCTTGGAAAAATCATGCAAAATCAAATCTAGAGAGTGGGCAGCACAAGGAGTCCAATATAGGTGTGGTCTTCTTTCCATCAACATTTCACCAGCTTTTTTGTATGCACTGCCATTGTCTGTAATAATCTGAACCACATATTTCTCTCCAATCTCTTCAACAACAGCATCCATCAAACCCAAAATATAATTAGCATCCTTGTCATGACCAGAACTATCAATTGACTTGTGGAAAACAATTTTTCCATCACAATATATCAAGAAGTTAATGATAGATAATCTTGTGGTGGATGTCCATCCATCACACATGATTGTCACTCCATAAATCTCCCACTTCTTTTTGAACTGGTCAATGTACTCTTTCAGCTCATCTATCTCATTATCTAGCAATGGTCCGCCAATCTCATATGGGGTTGGGCCTTTCACACCCACTCCAGCTAAAGCAATTTCATCAATCATCAATTGGTAAAAATGACCTTGAGCTTTGCTTGGTGGAATATTCTCATAAATGAAATACTTTGCAATAGCATGTTTTGCCGACTTTGCCCACTTTTTCGGATTCCACATATGAGTTAGCTTGGCTTGCTTTACTTCCCTATTCCGATACATCGAAGGATCCATCTCTTCTATCGTGAGATCCTTTTCTCTGTCCATCCACTTTTGTGATTTTCTTGAGAATTTATCCCAAGATTCCTTCACACTATGTGAGCGCATTAAACCCTTAGATATACCACTTTTTTGGATAGATGGTCTAGAACTTCCTCCTCTAAAGCCTTGCTCGGCCATATGTATATCACGAATAGATTGTTGTTTTGCATACTCAATATCATCTCTATATTCTATATCCATATCATCATCTGAATTCTCATCGGAAGAATAAATTTCGATACCACTCCTCCGCCTCGATCCACCAATTAAATTTTGTCTCATTTTTCTCCGTTCACCAGTCACTTCTGCATTTTCAGTCTTGTTGCGATTCAAGTAATCCCTCATAGCTTTCGCAATTTCAATAGGACACTTATCACATTGTTCCACATTATTATAACCGCCTGCCAAGTGTTGCTTTAACCGTGACACACCGCCACCCATCATTTTTTTATGGCAAAAATTACACATTACATGTTGTCGATTATCCCCAATTCGTTCGCCGTAATTCCATCCAATATCACGTTCTTTTTTTTTTTTCTGCGATGATTCAGTAGCTATATTCTTTCCTTTTGATGTCATATCTACAATAAATATCATTACGTTATTAAATATATTAAATTAATTTTACAAATTAAAATTAAATGTAATTACAGTGGGTATTAACTATTAAATGTAATTGTAGTGGGTATCAAGTATAATTACAGTGGATATCAAGTGTAATTATAGTGGATATCAATTGTAATTACAATGGTATTAATTATTAAATGTAATTATAGTGGGTGGTAAATATAATTACAGTGGGTATTAACTATTATATGTAATTACTGTTGGGTATTGAATGTAATTACCGTATGTATTAAATATAATTATAAGGGGTATTAAATATAATTATTCATACATGTAACCAAAAAAAAAAAAAATTTATATATATATATATATAAGGCAGACGGCATAAACGACTCAGACAACACTCAGACCACAGCCGAGTGTTTTGCTCTCAGCGATGGTCGCAGTCGCAGCGATGGTCGCAACGATGGGAGAGAGAGAGAGAGAGAGAGAGAGAGAGAGAGGAAGAAGAAGAAGAAGAAGAAGCAGATACCTCGGCGATGGCGATGGCGAAGGCTCTGCGTGCAAAATTCGAGCCCTAGATCTGCGTGGAAAACCCGAAAATGGCTGAATCTCCTGAAATCTGGACTCAAGGTTAGTTCCTCTACTCTTCTCCTTCAATTTCTCTGTCTCTTCGAGCTCCCGATTTTGATCCAAAATGCTTTCTGTCTCTTCGAGCTCCCGAATCTCCTTCAATCTGGACTCCCGATTTTTTCTCTGTTAAATTGGACTGACTTCTGCAAGGATTCGGCTTTCTGTGTCTCATGTGATTTCTGTTAAATTCTTGTGCTTTCTGTGCCTCATGTGATTTCTGTGCCTCATGTGACTCCCGATTTTTTCTCTGTAAAATTCTGACCGAAATGTGAAAGGCATCTCTGTTTTTTTGTTTTTTTGTTACCTGGACTGAACCACATCCAATCTGTACTGTGTCGATGGAAACGGTACCGTTTCGACCGAAACGGTACCGATTCGACCGAAACGGTCCGATACACTGTCGATTCGAACTAAACATTGGATTTTTGGTATTCATTCCCTGTTTCGTGTCGGTGTGTTGAAATTCCGAAACGTTTCGGACGTTTCGGATGTTTCGACACGAGATTTCGTTCCTTGCCATTACCATCATGAAATATTTTCTTCATTCAGTTCACCAAAACCCGGTAATTACACAGATCCCACTGGAGTAACATGGTATGGAAAATTACGTTCCTTTAAGAATGAACCAATCAATATTCATAACTCTTTAACCGAAGTCGGTCATGTGATGATTGGACTTGCAACCTTTGTTTCGCCTCTAGATTTTTATTATCACCTACTGGGACTAAGTTGGTTGAAATCTTATTTCAAGCAATGTCGGCTTGAAGTATATTGTCGTTGGCATGGAGTACGAGTGCCACAGACACGTTTAGGTGAAATGTATATGGAATGGTGCATAGATAACTACGATGATATCATTGCAGCACTGGCTTTTGATAATAATCAGATGGAACGACGGCTAAATCGATTCCACCTTATTAAAAAGGCAAAGATTGAACATTCTAACCTTGTACAGCCTATTAATGCAATATTGTCCGATCTATCATTGACATCTGACAATGAACTTTCAGATTTTGAAGAATTAAGTGATGATGATTATACTGCAAAATTTCTCCATCCTACTCTTTGCTTACATGACACTCCCCTGTGCTGTTTGAAATATGGTCTTTATTAGACATATTATGACTGCCATTGCTATATTATGTCGTTTAAAATCTAATATAATAGTTATATTTCAGCAAAAGACTTAAAATCTCTTCATTATAAATGCATTTTTGTAATATTTTTATCACACAAGAAATAAAATCTCTTTTTCGCTTATTTAGGGTTTATTGCTTGGGATTGGGTGGTTAGATTGCTAGAATTCTTTTTGGACAATAATAATTTGAGTGGATAGGGTTTCTTAATATTTATGATATAAGGTTTGTTTGGATGGGTAGTATTTTTGATAATTTAAACTTGTGAAAGTTATTTTTATTATTTATTGTTTAATAAGGGTGAGAATGATAAGTGGATGTCATAATTTAATTTTTCAATATGCTTAAATAAAGTTACTTTTATTATTTATTCCAATATGCTAAATATTTTGATCATCACATGGAAAGCGGTGTTGAATATTCCAATAGTTGAGAAATATTGCATTTTAATCATCACATGCTAAATATTTATTCCAATAGTTGAGAAAAAAAACGCTTTCACTAGAAAGCGGGATTGACAAAGTCATTTTCTAATGAAAGCGGATTTATCACTTACGTTTTCTTGGCATGCAAAAGCCGGTCTGCTTTCACAGAAAGCGGATTTACTAATTCTGCTTTTTTAGTGAAGTCGAAATCCTTAAATCCGCTTTTAAAAGAAGTCACATGTAGTAAGTCCGCTTTCACACGAAGGCGGATTTATTGATTCCGCCTTTAAAAACGACTGTAGATTGGTAAATAAGTTCAAAACAATTGCATTTTGGTAATTAAGTTTAAAAATCACCGCATTTTGGTAATAGATTCAAAGTTGCTAAGTGATACCCCAACATTAGAGAGAGAGAGAGAGAGAGAGAGAGAGAGAGAGAGATGGCAGAGCCCACAGCAGCAAAAGTAACATCGATCTTCATATATCCGATCAAATCATACCATGGAATTTCTGTTTCTCAAGCAGCTCTCACTTCCACTGGTATGACCCCAACATTTCTTTGGTTTTTCTTGTTTTTTATTGTGTAAATCCTTTTATTTCCCTAAACCCAACTGCATGTAATGCATTGCTTGCGCGTATCAAAGGTCTTTCTTGAAATCTGACTTGTGATAGTAAATCTTTTAGCTGCTGACTTACTTGGGTCAAAGAACCTACAGACACAGTTTTCTTCTCTCTATGTGTCAATGATGAACAATTGAAGTTAGGGTAAAAAAATACACCACCATTTGTGTTTACTCTTTAGGGTATTAGTCAAGCAAGCTCGGCACCCCTTCCTCAAAGCAGGGAAAAATTCGTAGGAAGAGACTGAATTCTGGTATTTCAAAAATGCTTCAGAAGTTCAGTACACCACCATAGTCATTACACTGTAGGGAAAAATTCAGGCAATCCACCCAACCTCGGCAGTAGGATAGAGTGGAACCCTGAATTGTATTTCTCAGACAGCTCCCCGAGTCACTAATGAAAGAAGGGAACCCGAACCTATAAGCCTAGAAGCAAGTCAACCGGTAAGAAACATCATATCATAGTTAGTTCTCTCTACAATGAATATAGTTGACGATTTCCTATCTCATCTCTGTTAGAGAGAGGGATATTATATCCAGGGTAAGGCAACGGGAGGATTAAGCTAGCCTTCGGCCCAAAACTCATTGATTTATTGCTGTGTCTTTTGCTAGTTACCTCTCCCATATTGCTCCAACAATATTACTGTATCCGAGAGTTATATTTGGGTATATTTTCAAGGGCTTTTCACACTTTGCACCTTGAAAGATTTTAAAATTTTTATTATGTACCTTCAAAGATTAAATGTTTTACATTGCACCTTTGATACATTAAAAGTGTTGCAATATGGTTGAATTTTTTACAGTTAAACTTAGTAACAAATGGTTATGCTTAATGCAGCCGCTCGAAATTGTAGTTTTTTTGGTTTTATACTTGCAACATTGACCACTTTATTGTTTATTGTCTATTATGTAGTATTTTCATGGATATTGATGAATAATAAAATTATTCCTTCGGTGGTGTTGGTGAATGTCTTTGGTTGATCCATCCAACAGACACAAAAACTGGTATGTCAAGGAATAGATTGTGGTTCTTCTACTAGCAGATGTGCCTCAGTTTCTTCTGGGCTCGTATATGCAGGATTTCGCTGGGATCGGCAATGGTTGGTTGTGAATTCCAAAGGCAGGGCATACACTCAAAGGGTTGAACCAAAGCTTGCGCTAGTTGAAGTGACTCTGCCAAATGAGGCATTTTCTGAGAGTTTTTTTTTTTTACACATTTTCTGAGAGTTGGGAACCTACTAAAAGCTCATATCTGGGTAAAAACATGATTTCTAATGTAAACTTTTCTATCTCCAAATAGTATGCTATAATTTTTTTTTGTTAAAAATACTTGGTTCTAATATCATATGATATGCCTGGAGTTCTGATATTCCTTTTCATAACTAAACAGGGTTCAACTCATGTTTTGATGATGAAATAATGTTTCCATCTCTATAGATTTGATTTGAAATTTAAAAACTACTACTAGCATTTGTTGCTAAATTGAAGGCTGCTTCTGTTGCAATATGCTTTCCATTACAACTTTGCAGTTTGCCCCCAAAATCTGTTTCTGTGAAAATGTTCAGTTGTTCTCCGGATATTTTCAATTTCATTTGACATTTCAACCTATATTGCTCGACTGCTCATTGTTAAACTTGACATCCTTAGATTCTCTCTCTCTCCCCTTCCTCTTCTAATATAGAACTTGAGGACCTGTTTTGCCCGCCAGACCAAACTACTGCCTGGGTGCATTTTATTTCAATTTTTACGCTTCTTGCCCTTATCATCTGAATATGTTGATGGATTTTTGCTTAAAGTTGTCTGTATAAATGAAATGAGCCAAGGAATTCCCAATTATTTGTGTTTTCAATTTAAGCTTGTAAATATGATACATGAACGGGATTGCTTACAGTAATTGGTAAGATCTCACTCGTAATGGTGTCATACAATTTCTAGGTTCTCTTTTTTTGCCCCTTTAGTATGATGCTTTTACTTCTATGCACAACATTAGTTTGATTGTCCGTGCTAGTTGGCTGTTGGATTCTAAGTGCTAGTGGGCTGTTGGATTCTAATCTAGATTTAGATATGCACACTTTTTTTTTTTTTTTTATTAGGAACACTCTTTATTGATACTAATGGAAATATTACAAGAAGACCCCATCAAGTGGTGGACTTCTAGTCCACCACAAGACAAGATTTTAGAAAGAAAAAAACATAACCAACATTACTAGCCGCGCGAAGCTTTCCAGCATTTTCTACTTCTAATACAAAAAAAAAAAAAAAAGGTATATATTGAAACTCCTTGGACACCGATGCCCGAAAGGAAGCCAAAAAAATAAAGCCTTTCCCATAGACCTTCAAAATCTTCATATTTATTTTCGAAAATCCTCACGTTACTCTCCTTCCAAATGCCATAATGTAGCAAAGAAGACACTTGCCAAAATAAGTGATCCACACTCTCACTATCGCCAATACACATAACACAACATCGTGGTTGAAGACAAAGTATAGGTCTTATCTTTTGAAGCACTTTATTTGTACTGATCTTACCATGAGAAATTATCCACGCAAACATTTGTACCTTTAAAGGTATATATTTGCACCTTTGAAGCATTTTCTACTTTTAATACAAAAAAAAAAAAGGTATATATTGAAACTCCTTGGACACCGATGCCCAAAAGGAAGCCAAAAAAATAAAGCCTTTCCCATAGACCTTCAAAATCTTCATATTTATTTTCGAAAATCCTCACGTTACTCTCCTTCCAAATGCCATAATGTAGCAAAGAAGACACTACGTCAAATGGTCTTCCATTTACTATTATTCCCAAAGCCCACATCTTCCAAGCAAAACAGAGATACCATAGCAACCTACGCAACTCCCATAAAGTCAAAAAGTTTATTCCATAATGCATACACTAAAGGACAATGCCAAAATAAGTGATCCACACTCTCACTATCGCCAATACACATAACACAACATCGTGGTTGAAGACAAAGTATAGGTCTTATCTTTTGAAGCACTTTATTTGTACTGATCTTACCATGAGAAATTATCCATGCAAACATTTGTACCTTTAAAGACACTTTCTCCCTCCAAATATTCAATGATGGATAAAATAGTGGAAGCGAAGGATGAAAAACTTGATTGCTGCCTAAATGATTACCATCTCCTTCTTCTCCTTGCCATTTTGTGGGGGGTTTCAAGTTTTACATGAATCAGGTAAGTTTCTTTTTTTTTTTCCTGAAGAATTTGTCCTGCTTCAAAATAACGTTGGAGATGTAATCTTAGTAATGATCTGTAGTTACTCTTCGACAGTGATAAAGGCCCCTGGGACGGATGTCCTGAAGGTTTCATTGAGTAAACCAAGTGAGATTTCTAATGGCGTCTCAGTATGGGAGTGGTCGGGTTCTGCATTCGATGAGGGAGCTGAAGCATCAAAATGGTTCTCTTATTATCTTGGGAAACCGAGTCGGCTAGTGCGTTTCAATGAAGGTAGTGCTCAATCTATTGCTGTACTCTACGCATGCAACTGTAGGCCTATAATTGTTTCTATGTACATCTAATTCTTTTGCAATTTTGAATAAAACTCAATTAGATTCCTATTGTTTCATCAGAAAATGAAACAATAACATACATTATAGCCAAGATTCTTAATTACTTGGTTTGTCTGCTTCTAACACTTTCCATGACTATAGAGAAGCATCTCTGTTGCTGTATGGGTTTGCTGTTTTAACAGGAGTTCTATCACTTAATTTATTTTTCCCAGGAAATGATTCTGATTGCATAAACCGTGATCTAGTGCACAGTTACCAGAACTCTACCCGATACGACTCACGATCTGGGTGCAATAACCCCAAACAGCTTGGGTTTGCAATCTAGATTGCCTTCATTTCCAATCCTAAATTGTAACCCTAGCCCTAAAGTGATTCTTTTTGGAACTTGTATCACGAATATAAAATACATATTAATCGACTATGGAAGTATGGATGTATAATTATAAATGGTTTCAGATAATATAAGGCGTACGAAAATATAGGTTTGTGTTGCTCAAACATGGCATATTTGTTTATGCTCGGAAAAAAAAATAGCCAGATTGTATCACGTTGTCTGTTTTCCTAGTAGTTTCCAAAGTATTTCAAATTATCCAAATTATAGTTAGAAGTTCTGTCCATCGTAGAGCTTAATACTATTTCTTTACCAGGTGATGTTGTTGAATAAGACGTCCATAACTCGGAACAACTGGTTTTTACATTGATGCAGTGTCAGAAACCAGGACCGTGGACCGTAATTATGCTCGTGGATACAAAGTCATGTTTTCTGACGGGTATCCGCTCCTCCTACTATCCCAGGTTAGGCAGTACCAAGTTTAAAGTACCATGCTCTTGAATAGAATGTTACATGTTGGCTTTGTCAATGTTTCTTTGACAGGGATCATTGGATGCACTGAACAAGCATCTCAAGGATCCTTTACCAGTTAACCGTTTTAGGCCAAAGTATGTGTTTAGACTCATGTCTCATTTTTCAAGTAAAACATTAAAGCATCTTGTTTTCAATGTCAACGACACTTTACTGTTTGAATGAATTATGCTAGCTTCTCTGAGAGCATGATACTTCGTTGGACCCTTTTATAAACATCGCTTTTTCTATACTTCATTTAAAAAGCCTTAGACATTTTTTTTCTTCTTTCCTATGATCATATGTGATTTGTACTACTATTAGTCAACGCAATCCTATTTGTCAAATCATTTACTTTTTTTTACTTTGTTATAGCATCCTTGTTGATGGTTGTGAACCATTTTCTGAGGACTTGTGGAAGGAGATGAGGATAAACAAGTTAACATTCCATGGTGTCAAGCTATGTTCCCGCAGTAAGGTAAAAAATTATTCCTCTGCATCTTCCGCCTGGATTATTGTAGTTGGCGTGGTATCTGGAGACTGTGAATCAGTTAAAAGGATTGCTGCATTCTTTTGTAATTTAGTGTTCATGTTGCCAAATCATTTAAAAATAATATGGAATTTTACAGTGATGTCAACAAGGAAAATAACATTTCCGTTGTGCAAATGACCAACAAATCTTATGGGTTGCTAGCTTTTTATTTGCTAGCCATGCCTGTTGCTCAAGTGCTTATGAACATGTTAATGCTCAGAATCAGATTTTCTAACAAACGATTGGAAAGCTTCCGTCTTGTAATGGAGTTCTTTAAATATTTGTGTGTGATAATTGTGGACAGTCATCTTTGTTGGTTTTAGTAGTGTCAGAACTTCTATGCATAGGAAAACCTCCTCGTCATTTGCGGGTACACACAATCAATCAAGATACTGCAATAGCAAGCTCGGAGCCTACTCAAACTCTTATGAAGTTCAGGTGAGATAAGGTCTTGCGTCCAACCCGAAAACAGCAGGGGAAGGTAAACTCAAATCTGTAAACGTTACTTTGCCAGAACACACGAAAAAAAAAAAGGAAAAACTATATATGTTCATTATACTCCGCCATGAGTGAATGATTTACAGAACTCTAATGATTTTCCAGGTCTACTTTGGGCAGAACTTGGTCTGCCCAGACTCCCTAAATCAAATGGAGGGGAAGACAATCAAAGTAGGAGATCCTATTTATGTCATCAAGATGGCCTCTTCCTGTACTGATGCAGCTGCATGAACTCTTTGCTGCTATCGTCAGTAGTTCCCTGTTTGTATTATGAACAATAAACGTATGTTGTGCAATGTATTGCTAGAGGTGGGACACGGCATGCCTGCCTCAAATTATGTACCTTAATCGCGTAACAATAATTATCCTACAATAAAATGCTTCTCATCAAGTATTCTGCTATACTCAATTGTACACATCATGGAGACTTCAAGCATCATTAACAAGCTAAGTTACATTTGATAACGCTTTGCTATCAACAGGAAGAATGGGCTACTTGAAAACGAACTGCAGTGATCTTGAATAAAATCCTACGGAGAAAAAAAGAATCCCCGTAAAAATACCACTCGATTGAGTAGAAGTGTTTTCGTTGATTGAAGTGAGTAGATCTAGGAGATCCTTAGATCATGAAACAAACAATGTGTATATGGTACAATACATAAAATTAAACTTTGAAAAGGGCATAAGTTGGGACAAGGAAAAATTAAAAAGCAAATATTCAAAAAACAAACGCTCTATAAAAAAACACAAAAGCAAGAAGGTACCTAAAAAGATTACCAAACAGTAACTAGGTTATCATACTGGAAGGCTAAGTAGACCACAAGAAACCTGTAGCTTGTTTTATTCATTTCAGCTGATACAAAGAACCATAGGACTTGGTGTTGAAAGACAGATGTGGTATTGGAGCAAGAAAAGCACAAGCAACTTCGAAAATGGGAACAATGGTATGCTTGAAATACGGAAACGGGAACTGTAATCTCAAATTTCTTGAACTCAAAAAATTCCAAAATTTTTACTTTTCCTCTTTCCATTTCATTGGTATTTTCTAACCATTACATGCATTTTACAATTCTGTGCCTTCACAATACCAAAAAAGATCTTCCAATAATTTTACACCCTCTGAAATCATTTGAGGTAATAATAAGCCCTTTACCCAGCAAAAATAGGTAAAAATTAAATTGAGAGCACTGTCTGTAGTGGCTTGTGTAGAGACCTAATCATGTTTAAACCTGTCAACTAAGTTCGCTGCCGAAGCATCAGCTGGAGCTGAATGACTTGTTGCTGCTGATCTGGTGGCAGTGAACTTAACTGCGCTGGTGTGAGATTCAGTACTTGTTGCAGCAACGCCGACTCCACCTCAGGAGCAAGCTGCAAGCATGTAAAGAGAAAAGAGAACTCAAAATAACTTCAATATTGCTATTATAGTATGAACCATTCACATCCAAGGTTGTCAAAACATGTATCGGAAAGTGTATCGTTTTTTAAAAATCGTATATCGTGTATCCTAAGATATATGCAATTTTTAAAAAAAAAATTAAAAAAATACATATACCTACAAAAAGTCATAATAACATTTCATTGCACCACAAATTTCTTACATAAAATAATTTAAAGAGACTACAAGAACCAAAACTAAAATTACCAATCTAAGTATTCAAGTTGCTAATCTAATTCATCAATATCAAAATTTTGAGAGTTCTAATTTCTACCATCTAAAGGAATCAAAGGAGGACAATTTTAGCAATCAAACTATTTGCTACTACGATGAAACGAACAACAAAAGAAGACTTGAATTTTTTAAGACCCTAGATAGGACGTCGTTTCACTACCTAGTGTTTAAAAAAAATACATCCATGTTAACAGGCAGCATTTTTTGGTTAAAACCCAAAAAATAAAAAAATTGATCTGTTTCCTCCCATATCGGATGTATCATATCGTTTGTGTATCGCTCAATCCAGTGCAAGTCTGATACACTTGACTGATACATGTCATTTTCTTCGTAAATCGATACGTATCGTGCAATACATACAACTATTGTCAACTTATTTATGATGTGAGTCACATCATAATCACATGGATAACTCACTATCTATTTGAGTACAAGAAATTGTCTGTACTCACCATGTACAGCTAAGTTGTTAATAACTACAAGTTTCAAATTCACGGCATGAAAAGATGTTTCTGTTTTTTGCAATGCCGATGAAATTGCACGACGTGTATCCTAGAAGACAAATGCAGAATGCAGCAACTCCTTAGACAAATATTTTTGGAAACCAACTACACCTCCCACCCAAGTCTGATGGGTTTCATAACTTTTTGTAGTATGACAATTTTGCCCTCCATGGCTTCCTTTTGTGAGATCATCAATGTTAGTCACTCGGCTGTCTTGTCTCTAGTAGTGCCTGCATCGTTTCTTTCATAAACTTTGAACCTACTCGCACAATGCAGAATCGCTATCATTTTGAGGGTCAAAAGCCCACAAACCCCAACTCCAAAATCCCCAATTTTTCAAATCCAAATCCACTCGGAGAGAGAGAGAGATGCCGCACTTCGGGAGGTCCTATACACCCGCGTTTTCCTTGTCCTCAACATCACTTTCAGTTAGCAGATAGTTTTTCTAGCTCTTCGCAAGTGCCGCAAGGACTTGCACATATTCATTCCTAAATATCAGTGTTTTTATAATCTATCTCGCTTTTTCTGCGATTACTCTGTGTTAAAAAATTAGAAGGAAATAAAATATATATATAATAGGTGTCAGAACACATCCTCCTATAGGTGTCACTATCAGAAAGTTTGCATTCCAAATGTTAGGCTTTTGGTCCCAAAGAGACCTCATTCACTCATAATACATAGAATTATAGAAACTCTATGTTCTTGCAATTATGTTTCTCTCTATGTTACAACTAAAGTCTAGTTTGTTGAGAAATGGAATTACATGGCCATCATGACACGAAAGCTTTTTGTACCCTAATGTAATTTCATATAATTTATGACGATTTACAGTGTTTTAGCATCAATTTCATCATTATGTTTATGAAATTCAAAATATTACGTGATATTAGTTTGGAAAAATTTCAGTCATAACCCTTCTAGTTTATTATATCTTCAAGAACACCCCCTCTATTATTTAAAACATCACTGACACTCCTAGTTTATATTTAAACATCACTGACACTTTCTGCCGTTAAATCACCATTTCTAATTAAAAAAAATTCAAAATACCAACATTATCTCTACATAAACCCCAAACAATCTTTCTACATAAAATTCGATTAAAATTTAAGCCAATTAAATTTATTTTTTTAATATATTAAAATTCGAGTTGATTAAAATTCATGTTTCTACATATTAAAATGTGAGCCAATTAAAATTCGATTCGAACTAATTAAATTTTATTTTTTTAAGTATTAAAATTCAAACGTATTAATTTTTTTTTACATATTGAAATTCAAGCCGATTTGAGTTCTATTTGAGTTGTTAGGGCCGATTAAAATTTGTTTCGAGTCGATTAAAATCTATATTTTTTCTTATTAAAATTCGAGTCAATTAAATTTTAATCGGCTCGAATAGAATTTTAATCAGCTCCAATTTTAACATGTACAAAAATATAATTTTTAATCGACTCAAATTTTAATATGTAAAAAAATAAATTTTAATTAACTTGAATAAAATTTTAATCGGTCCAAATTTTAATACGTACAATAATTTAAAAAATAGAGTGGATCTCATTGAAGATATATTTATCTAGAAAGGGTGTAGATAAAGTTTTTCCTAAAGTATATCAAGGACAATTTAGTAAAATTACATTCTAGTTAACACTTTTAATCTGATAGGGGTGTTAGTGAAGATTCAGAAAATAGAAGAGTTTCCTTGAAGATATGGTAAACTAGAAAGGGTGTGGTTAAAATTTTTCCTATTAGTTATAATTAATTTGATTAATGATTTGTAGTGATATGTCATATTTTTTGTTGGATAAATGCATATTTAACAAAGAATTTCAAAGTAAACAATGGATGGGTAAATTTGAAAATTTATTTATTTTCAGACTTCAGCTCCTACTTAAATATCAAAATTCACTCTTCAGTATTTAATTTTCAAATTTATCAAATACCACCTAACTGACGTATTTATGCTTCAACAGAGGGATCCAATATGACATAAATAAAAAAGGGGAAGAAAAATTCCTGCACTCGCTCTTTGGTTTTAATAGCCTTAATTTCAAATTTATAAGTCTACACGCTACATACAATCTCAATCAGAATTTCTATCTGAAATCAAATAAGACGCCAACTTTCAAATTCCTAGTTCTGTTGAGATATCTCACCACCTTGCGCAACATTCCATTCTTTGGACCATTGACAAGGGCGCTATGCTCCGCCTTATTTGTGCATGCCTAGGCTACAATACTAAACAACCACCATGTTCACAATTACCCGTCATGGGTGTAAACATTTGAATCGATATTGAGAACTGGTCTCGTCTTTATCTTTCAAAACCAACCTCAGCCACTCCATTGAATGATTTATTGTACTTGTACAAGTGTCGTAAAGCAACAATAGATCATTGATGGGTATTCTAATAATCAAACCATCTACAGAGAACACATTCAAAGTCGGATATGATTTACCTATAAAAGCACTAGTTAACTAACAGATTTGGGTGAGAGCTCGAATGGACCGCCTGAATTTTACAGCAAGCAGGTAATGTGTTGCTTATTCTCCCAATTCAAACCGTAAAAAGAAGTAAGAAACATAAGAACTAGTAGACTTGATTTTTACCTAGGCTTTTTGAACCCTTCCATCAACTACTATTAACATTTTTTTCAACCTCAAATGACCGTGGCTAACAGTAGTTCATTTGGGTGAACTCAAGCTATTAAAGTTCCACAAGAGAGAGGCTAGCAAAGTTTTTGATATTGTACAAACTTCCAATATGCCCATGATGTACAGTATAACTAAATTGTGTCCAAAACAATTAAGATATAAGGAGTGGGCCTTCTATGGGTGTTCCTCCAACTCAATGAATAAAGGGAGGAGTATGAGGAAGCAGGCCTTCTGTATGAAGATTCAAACAATTAGCTTCGACTATCTTTCTTGTTCAAATAAAGCAAGTGGACAACCTCTGAGGTAGCTTGCTTTTTGGCATTGTCGAAAACTCAAGCAAATCCTGGATCGATTGAGAAAGATCAAGCATGCGAAGAAAGCCTAACCATGTATTACATTAGTAAAGGA